ATTTGAATACAAAACAACCGTTTAAATGGAAATGTTCCTAATAAAATGATCTAAGCATTTATTTAGATAACCTAATTATGTCTATGATAATACATTTGACTTTAGATCTTTAGATTTTGGAAACAAATTTAAGTTTCTTTGGTAAGATTGTGGTTCTAAAAAGGAATGCGGGCACAAATCTATTTTTAAATGGGAACACTAATTTAATTTAATGCTTAAAGAAATTACACTAGAAAAAAAAATATACCAAGTGCACTTGCACCCACCCTGCTTTATATGGATCCGCCCCTGTAATTTACCAATCATACCAAAATCTTAAGTCGTGTTTTAGTGCCAAAGATTTGGGGAAAAGGGCTTTAAGACTTTAAGAAGCAGAGATATTTTTCTATAATTATTTGATTAGACCATATCTCAACCGGTTCTACGTAACTTTTGCTTTATCTAAATGCATTATACGTGTTATGGCTTGGGAGATGTTTACACTTTTAATATTGCGATAAGGTTTTTAAAGTGTCACTTTAAAAGAAAAAGGCAACGTTAGAAAGAAAATAAAAGCTGAACAATTATCGACCTCATAACTACTACTGCTTTTTTGGGGAAAAAAGGAAAAAAACTTGTATACTTTTCAGAGAATGTCGACTGATTCAAATTGAAAAAGCAAAAGACGTATGACCGAATATTTATAGAATAATATTTAAATTTTACGTGGAAACATTTATATCAATTATTGAAGTGTGAATGTATTCGTAGGTCAGCGACTACAGTCTTTCCCTATCAAATAAATACTAACCTATATCAAAATGTGAATATAAGTGAAAATGCATAGACCAATTTAAACCATACCATAATTACTCAATTAGTGTATGTAAAGTGTAAACAGTACTTAATTAGGCCGGTGGACAAAATCGTCATTTGACACAGAAGACAATATTTTCGCGCCGAAAATGATCCCAAAAGACGCGCCAGAGTGACAGCTCTTCTTCCCACTAAATCTACAAACCCTAGAAATTTCCCCCAAATTTTCCCGAGAAAATCCGCCACGATTCTGGGTATTGTGCGCGATTAACAAGATGAAGGGAGGAACAATACAGATAAGTTGGCACGACGGGAAGCCAGTGCTAACCCTAGATTTCCACCCGATTTCCGGTTTACTCGCCACCGCCGGAGCCGATTACGACATCAAGGTATCGCAATCCTTGAAATCAGTCTAGATTCCTCCAATTTAGGATCTGATTTCCATCAATTTTGACCCAGTATCATCTAATCGAGCTGGTCATTTTCGGATTTGAATTTTTGAATCTGCTATTATATAGAAAATATAATTGTTTGAATTCGAAAGCATTGGATCGTCTGTTCTTCTCATGGGTTCATGGATTTAGTGATTGGTTATGGTTGTTGACTTCGTATTTCACTGTTTACTAAATTGAATTTTTTTGCAGCTATGGTTGATAAACTCTGGTCAAGCGGAGAAGAAGATTCCCAGTGTATCTTATCAGAGTAGCCTTAGTTATCATGGATGTGCTGTAAATACCATTCGTTTTTCTCGATCTGGTAAGTAATGTGTTTCTTATATGATCTTGAAGTATATTTCTCTGGGAAAAGATAATTGTTAGAATAAAATTGCATTAGCTTTGTGTTATCAGAGGTGTTCTTGAGTCTTAATCATGTTAAGAATTTATGTCTTCTTGTGGTGACGATTGTTATATGATAATATGCAGGGGAACTACTTGCCTCAGGAGCAGACGGTATGACTGAGAATATATCTAATGGCTAAAAGGCAAATGTGTTTTTGCGTGTTTTGAATGCGTAATGAAACCAATTGTGTGTTATAATGCAGGAGGCGAGCTTATCATATGGAAGTTGCATCCTAGTGAAACCAATCAGTCCTGGAAAGTTCTCAAGTCATTATCGTGAGTCCTTTCATCTGAATAAAAAGCTACACTACATTAGGTAGCAAGAACCATCTTCTAAGAACCACGATTGAGTGTTTCTATACTATTGCTCGATCAAGAATGGGGAATTATTTAGTAGGCTAGTAACATAGTGGATATGGTGCTCGACTTTTCCTCAATTCTCTGGAGTAAAATTGTAGGCTAAGAGAATTACTTTTACTTTTGTTTACACTGCTAGATTTCATCGAAAGGATGTCCTGGATCTTCAGTGGTCTCCTGATGATGCTTATCTGATTTCTGGCTCAGTGGACAACTCTTGCATTATATGGGATGTTAACAAAGGTGAGAAAGTAAAAGAGGAGATAAATTATCTTTCATTTCGCATCCAGCTTTCCTGCTTCATAAATTTCCGTATTTGCTACAAGGTTCTGTCCATCAGATTCTGGATGCACACTGTCATTATGTTCAAGGTGTTGCCTGGGATCCCTTAGCAAAATACGTAGCCTCTCTTAGTTCAGACAGAACATGCCGGATATACGTCAATAAGCCTCAAACAAAGAGTAAAAGTGGTGAAAAAATGAATTATGTTTGTCAGCATGTTATCACGAAAGCAGATCAGCAACGGGGAGATGACACTAAGGTTAGAGAGAAAATAATTTCTTCATGATTCACTGCGAATATACAGTATGCCTGATTTCACAATGATGTAATATGCAGACAGTAAAAACCCATCTCTTTCACGATGAGACATTGCCGTCTTTCTTCCGAAGATTGTCATGGTCACCTGATGGATCGTTTTTACTCATTCCAGCAGGTGATTATCACTAAAATCCAGTCCTGTTATTTTTTTTACTCAATCCCGAAAGTTAGGCTAGATAATCACAGTTTACCTGGATATTAATTATGTTTCTGTCATCACTGTATTGCATTTCCAGGCTCTTTCAAGATTTCACCTACATCTGAAGCTGTAAATGCTACCTATGTCTTTTCTAGGAACGACCTTTCAAGGTAAGATAATCACCTCACTATCTCTTGTTTGGAAGTCGTAAGGCTTGTGGAACAAATTGTAGGAGTTTAGCGACCTCAATTGCTTGAGCTTATGTATGAGATAATAAGAAAGCAATACAAAGTCTCACACACACTCATTTTTTTTTTTCCGTGAGCAGACCTGCACTACAGCTTCCAGGTGCCAGCAAACCAGTTGTAGTGGTTCGGTTTTGCCCCGTTGCATTCAAACTCCGGGGTTCAAATTCTGGTACATATTATGTTTTCTCATAATATCTTTTTATTTTCTTTCAAGATAGAATCGCAAGGCCTGCATTACGTTGCAATAACCGAAGAAGGTTTCTTCATATGCTCATTTTGGTGAACCCAAATGGTATTTTGGATCTTGCAGAAGAAGGTTTCTTCAAGCTTCCTTACCGTCTTGTCTTTGCCATTGCAACTTTAAATTCGGTGTACATATATGACACGGAGTGTGTCGCTCCAATTGCAGTCTTAGCAGGTCTCCACTACGCTGCAGTAACCGATATAACATGGTAAAAAGAGTATGCTCGTCATTTGAGCTCTGAATCATCCATCTCCAAATTATTATAGTTATGAAATGTAACCAATGATCAAATGTTCATTAGGTCACCTGATGCCACGTATTTGGCACTGTCCTCACAAGATGGCTATTGCACACTAGTTGAATTTGAAGATAACGAACTAGGAGAATCTGTCTCCATTTCAGGTTTGCTCTTAGTTATTTCACACTCTTACCTTCCAGAACCCAATTGACCCATCAATTCAATTGCAGTTGGAAAGAAACCCGTGGATGGTGAGGAGAAAAAGCATGTTTTAGAGAAAACCGATGAGCTGATGACCGAAACAATACCAGACGAGAGCAATAAACAGTCTGAATCAGAACAAAACGAAGAGAAAACAGAGCCATCGCCGAGTAAAATCACCACAGATGGTGAGGAGAAAGAGCAGGCGATGCCGAAAATCGATGAAGTGATGACTGAAACAGGACCACAGGAAGAGAAACAGCCATTGCAGAGGAAACTTAGCACACCTGTCTCAAATAAACCGGCGAGAAAGCGCATCACACCGATGGCTATTGACCCCTAATGGTAGACCCACTACTGATGTACTTACTAAAAGAAATTTCTTCTGTTTTAACTCCCTTGATTCTAAGTTTTTCATAGGCTATTTTACTGAATTCATCAAGTTCGTTCATGTTTTATGTCACTAAAATGAATCTAATTATAACATCCAAAGCAAATATGGTAATTACAATCAACTAAGTTTCATATTGTTCTACAGCTTTTATCCAATTAACAATCATTCTTTAAAAACTTTCTCCAAAATATATTACAAGAACTAGGTGATTCTTTTGCGTACACGCGGGTAATTCATTTATAATGTTTTTTTTTAAAATTATACTTTAAAC